CACCATATTCGACTCCCCCTCAATAAATCATTTTCTCTTCAGTCACATTGTAAGTGCCCTTGGACCTGAGAGGTCCATCCTGCAGCAGTATCTCCCACAATGTTCTGCTTCCTTTGTTTAGGCTTTCAGTATTTGACAATGCTTCAGTGTTTTGCATGAGATCTTCAGCGGCATCTTTGGCCAAAGTTGGGTGCTTAGTCCTTTTTGCTGTCTTTTCTTTTCTTTTCTTTAAATCATTTTATTGGGGGATCGTACAACTCATCACAATCCATACATCCATCCACGGTGTCGAGTACATTTGTACATATGTTGCCATCATCATTCTCAAAATATTGGCTTTCTATTTGAGCCCTTGGCATCAGCTCCTCATTTTTCCCTTCCCTCCCCGCTACCCCCTCACCCATGAACCCTTGATATTTTATAAATTATTGTTATTTTATCATATCTTACATCATCCGACGTCTCCCTTCACCCACTTCTCTGCTATCTATCCCCCAGGGAGGAGGTTATATGTAGATCCTTGTAATCTGTTTCCCCTTTCTCTCTCACCTTTCCTCCACCCTTCTGGTATCACCACTCTCATCACTGGTCCTGAGGAGTTCATCTGTCCTGGATTCCCTATGTTTCCAATTCCTATCTGTACCAGTGTAGATCCTCTGGTTCAGCCGGATTTGTAGGGTAGAATTGGGATCATGATGGTGGGAGGGAGGAAGCACTCAAGACTAGAGGAAAATTATATGTTTCATCATTGCTCCACTGCACCCTGACTGGCTCCTCTCCTCCCCACGACCCTTTTGCAAGGGGATGTCCAATTTTCTACAGATGGGCCCTGGATCCCCACTCCGCACTCCCCCCAACAAAGCCCACATGGAAGGCGCACACCAGCGTACCCTGACAAGATCGCTGAAGACAAAACGGTGCATAAGAAAATGTGCTGAAGAAAGCTGATGGTGCGTGACTATCAAAAGATACTGAATCTGGGATCTTATAGGTTGGAAGATAAACAAGTGGCCATCTAACTGAGAAACCACAAAGCCCACATAGAAGAAGCACACCAGCCTGTGAGATCACAAGACATCGAAGGGATCAGGCATCAAAGACCAAAAGAAAAATCACTGTCTGTTCTTAATCTGGAAGCTCTCCTGAAACATGTTCTGTTTGGGTGACCTTTCTACCACTTGAAATACCAGTAGCATAGCTTCCAGCATCCTAACAACACACAAACCACCACATTACAACAAAGAGACAAGCAATTGGTGGATTCTAATGATAAGAAATTCCAAGAAAGACCAATCTATATATGAAATTAAGGAAATTATGTGGAAATTCGGATAAGGTGGAGGAATTGGCTGAGATGGGGTTTAAATATTTCTGGGTATTGAAAATGTTCTATATGTTGATGTTGTTGTTAAAATACATCTAGTCGGTTCTAATTCATAGTTAGCCAATGTAAAACAGAGCCAAACACCAATCTCATCCTCACAATTGTTCTTATTGTTGAGCCCATTGTTGCAATCACAGGGTCAATCCAACTTGTTGAAGGGCTGTCTGTTTTTTGCTGCTACTCTAATTTAGCAAGCATGCTGTCTTTTTCCAGGGACTGGTCTCTTGTAATAGCATGTCAAAAGTACCTGAGAAGTCTCACTGTCCTTGATTCTACAGAACATTCTGGCTGTACTTCTTCCAAGATAGATTTGTATGCTCTTCAGGCAGGCCAGTGTGCTTACAATATTCTGCACCAGCACCATAATTCAAATGGATCTATTCTTTGGTCTTCATTGTTAAAATTCAATGTTTGCATGCATATTAGATGATTGAAAACATCATGGCTTGGGTCAGGCACAACCTTAGTCCTCAACATAACCTCCTTATTTTTAATACTCTAAAGAGGTCTGGGCAGTAGATTAACCCAATTATTTCTTGACTGCTGCTTACATGAGCATTGATTATGAATCTAAACAGTCTAAACAGGATGAAATCTGTGAAAATGTTCAATCCTCTCTAATTATCATAATGTTACAGTTGGTAGAATTTTTGTCTTCTTTATATTGAATTGTAATCCATACTGAAGGCTGCAGTATTGAGTGCAGCAGTGATTCAAGTCCTCCTCAAGTTCAATAAGCAAAGTTAGGTATCTGCATATTTCAAGGTGTTAAGAAGCCTTCCCTGAATCCTGATACCATATCTTCATATTATTCAGTTTCTCTGAGTATTTGCTTAGTATATAGATTGAGTAAGTATGGTGAGAGAATACAGCTCTGGCATACACCTTTCCTAATTTTACACCATGCAGCAATCCTTGTTCTGGTCACACAAATGCTTCTTGATCCATGTACAAGTTCTGCATGAGCACAATGAAAGTTTCTATGATTCCCATCTTTTCTCAAGGCTCAATAGTTTGTTATGTTCGATACACTTGAATTCCTTGGTATAGTCAATAAAACACAAGTAAAACATGTTCCTGTTATTCTCTGCTTTTGAATTCTCTGTTCAACTCTTTGACTCCTTTATTTCTTCTATTTTAGTTAGCTATTCTATAAGAAAGAGTAACTTTCAGAGTCTCTACTGATATCCACTATGATATTTATTTACTGTCTACTTAAATTACTTTTTTCTTTCCTCATGAATTATGATTTTGGTTTTCTCTCACATCTCATCAGGTTTTCTGTCGTAAGTGGTCATGTGTCAAAAAGTGTTCTTGAGACATTCTAGACATGCAGGTGGGGTGGACCCAAAGGAATTCAGTTCTCATGGGCTTGTTTTCATTTTCATCCAGTGTGTTCTGTCCTTCTTCCCCACATCGTTCCCCTGTGCCCTTTAATGCCATTGAAGTTAGATTATTCTGTTCACTGTCCTTCTTTAGATGATCCTTTGAATTCCAAAGATATATTTCATTTCCAACGATCCTTTTGATTATGTAATCAAGGGTCTGAACACTAGAGTGAACCAAACAAATATCAGATATAAAGAATCATTGAACTACATAAGACAGATCATTTGAGAGTAGCAGAGGCATGTTCGTGATACTTAGGCAGGAGAAATCCTTGCAGAATTGAAGGATTTCAAGAAAATAAAAGAGAAAATAGGAATTTTTAAGAAATATAATTTGCATTAATATTTTCATTTATACCGATTATTTTATACATATATCTATAAAGAATTATTTTGAAATAACATTTGTAATCTTATTCAGGATTTGTTTGGTGACACTACAGTGATATGAACAAATTCCTACAGTTTAAGTAGATATAATGAATTCAGTAGAAAATATTGTTTAAGGTTGGGAACACCTGAGCCTTTGGAGAGATTTAGCTTTCTTAAGAACAAATCTTAAAACAGTATTGGGGTTGAAAATCGCCAAACTGGGTTTATTTTTGAAACCCAGAGACTCATTTTCTATACAAAGTTCCTGGGAAGAACATTAAATTGAAGTCAAATATTTATTATTTCTTTTAGTTATTTAAAGGTATAATATGTTTATAGGAAATCACATTAGACTACAGCTGCTTAATAATTATTCTCTAATCAAGTAATAGTCGCCTTGATGAAAAATGTTTCTAACCTCTACTTAGTCTTTGATTTCCCAATCATTTTACCAATTGATAATGATATTTAATACATGTCTAATACCTTGCTGTTTTCTGTTGTTGAGGTAGCATTTTGAAATGTTGTTACAAAACATCAATGTAGCAATATACAAGTTAGGCTGCCATTCCTGAACATTGATTATAAATAGCTATCGGTTTTCGGTTAATTAAAATTTATTATACAAAGCTTAGAAATACATATTCCAAATAAATTGTTAAAATATGTTTATAGGTTTCCCTCAACATATGAAGCGTTCCATTCACATTCCATCTTAAGTCATTTCATACATAAGTCAAATACCTCTATAGGGTTTCTGAAGACATCATCATCTCTTTCCAGTAGAGGGGGTCTTGGATGTAAACCATCAACCTCATAGTTCACAGCCAATGTTTACCTTACAGCTTCACCAGAGTTCCCTCCACAAGGCTCTTTAAATCTGTTGCCAAATAACTCCTTACATTGTGTAAGAAGAAAGGCATCACTTTGAGGACTAAGGTGAGCTTTACCAAGACATGGTATATTCAACTGGACAGTGGAAAAGTAAGACTTGAGAGGAGTTGATATATTTTTATTATGGTGTTGGTGATTAATATGAAAACTATAACGGCTCCCAGAAGAAAAGACAATTTGTCTTGTAGGAAGTACAGCCTAATGGTCCTTAGTAGCAAGCATAGCAAGACTTTACGTCCCTTTGGACATATCACCAGGGAACACCTGTCCCTGAAAAATGGCATTATGTTTGGTAAAGTAGAGGATTAGCAAATAAAAAGGAAGATCATCAATGAGATAGTTAACATCTGGCTTCAACAATGGGCTCAAACATAATAATTGTGAGGATAGTATGGGATTGGGCGGTGTGGTAGTTACATAATTTCATGTCAACTTGATAAATTGGTTATAGGGGTGAAATCTAGCCTGTCAATCAGGCCACAGTCTGATTGATGCCTCCTTGTGGGTGTGGCCTTCTCATGAGGATATTGGGAGTTTTCTCCTGCTTAACGGGCCTGTGACAATCCACATGGAGCCATGCTGATGTCAGCCAGTGCCATGGAGCTAGAGGAGTCATGTGTAGAGCTGCGCCAGCACTGAGATGCTTCCACCAGGCTTTTCACCCACTGGCCTGTAATCTTCCTGCATTCGGCATCATTGTATGTGCTGCGTGAATCTGAAGAGGAATCCATGGCTAATATCAGACTAATGGCCTAATATTATCATTAAGGACTTAGGATCTTGGGATGTTTTCTCGATATACCATTGCTCTTTGATATAAAGATCTCTCTTACACACATATGAATGTCTCTGGATTTGTTTTTCTAGTCATCCGGGTCGAACACAGGCAGTGGTTCATTTTACTGTACTTAAGATCACTATGCAGTGGAACTAACATGATGGCCCATAAGCAACTATTTTTTCAATGTCTGTAAAAAAATTTATCCCTGAGGCTCAGCAGAGAGGAACAGGGCCCATGAGTTACAATGTCTCTGTGGCAGTTTGGCGGGCAATGCCAGTCTTGGGTGGGGCAAGCGCTGAATTTGACACAGCTGCAACATAAGCAATTATTGTAAAGATATCCTTACAGTATATTCTTAACAACTGTGTGTATGAAAGAGAGAGGGAGAGAATGTGTTCTTCTTTTGGTAAGATCCATCACATTGCTGGCATTGTGTTGATTGTCCATATTAAGGAAAATGTATCCATGACTTTAGAGTTATTGGTAAATATCTGTGAGCTAGAGGATGGGAAATTAACCCAATAAAATGAAGGTACCATCTACCTCGGTGGTCTACGGCATGTTGAGATATACCTATTGAAGTGAAAGATAATATTGTATCTGGCCCCTCCCACAACTACACATAAGACCTGACACTTTTTGGACTTCTTTGGATTTAGGAGGCACTATGTACCTCATTTGGGTGCTACTCTGGCCTATATATCAAGTGACTTATAAAATTGCCACCTTTGAGAGTGGCCTAGAATAAAAGAAGACTCTGCAAGAGGTTCAGACTTCCATAAAATCTTCTCTATCGACTGGATCATATGATCCAGCTGATCTAATTCTGCTTGAGGTATCAGTGACAGAGATGAAGTTTGGAGCCTTTGGCAGACTCTGGTTGGCAAATCACAATACAGAAGCATAGGATGTTGGAGCAAAGATTTGCCTTCCTAAGTAGACATCTATCCGTCTTTTGAAAAACAGTTTTGGGCTCATTACTGGGCTTTGGGGTTGGCAGCACTCTATTGTTAAATGGAACTGGTATATAAGAGATTGGGCTAAAGCAGGACCTGAAGGTACACGTAAGCTTCATGAAGAAGTGGGCCAAATGCCTATGGTCTCCACTCCTGTCAAAGACCTATTTCTCCTAATTTGCACCTCTGGCCTCATAGGGAGTTCTTTATGATTAGTTGACTGAAGAACAGAAAACTCGTGCTTGGCTTACCAATGGTTTTGCACAATATGCAGGTACCACTTGAGAGTGGACAGAAGCAGCACTAGAGGCTCTTTCTGGGACCCCCCTGAAGGACCATAATGAAGGGAAATCCTCCTAGTGGGCAGAACTTAGAGTAATACATCTGGTTGTTCAGTTTGCCTGGAAGAAGAAATGGCAAAATGTGCGACTGTATATTTATTCATGGGCTGTGGCCAATGGCTTGGCTTGATGGTAAGGTATTTGTAAGGAGCATGCTTGGAAAATTGGTGACAAGCAGCTATGGAGAAGAGGGATGTGGATAGACCTTTCTGAATGGAACATGAAAGTGAAGATATTTGTGTCCCATTCAAATGCTTACAATAGAATTACCTCTGAAGAGTAGGATTTTTAACAATAGAGTAGATAGGATGAGATGTTCTGTGGAAATCAGTTATTATTCTCTTTCTCAGGCCACTCTTGTCATTGCCCAAAGGGAACATAGACAAAGTGAACATAGTAGCAGGGATGGAAGTCATACATGGACTCAGTAGCGTGGATTCCCACTGACAAAATCTACTGATGCTTCCCCATTTTCCAGCAGCAGAGAGCAACACTGAATCCAAGATATAGGACCATTCCTTGGGGAGATCAACCAGCAACCCTATAGTACGTTAATTACAAAGGGCTACTTCCATCATAGAATGGGCAACATTTTGTTCTTACTGAAATAGGCACTTATTCTATATATGGATTTTCCTTAATTGGATGCACTTATCCTGCAAACTATACCATTTGTGCACTTATAGAATGTTTTATTCACCAGCATGGTAACCATACCATATTGCTTCACATAAAAGAACTTACTTCATAGCAAATGAAACATGGCAATGGGCTCATGTTCATGAAAGCCTTTGGTCACATCATGTTCCTCAGTATCCTAAAACATCTGAGTTGGTAGAATATGGAATAGACTTCTAAAGACACAATTATAGTGTCAACTTGGAAATCACTTTCCAAGGGCAAGACAATGTTCTCCAGGAGGCTGTATATGCTTAAGCCAGCTGCCAATATATGATGCAGTATCCCTAGAAGCCAAGATTTACAAGTCTAGGAACGACAGTGCTGTAATTGGAGTGGCACCACTCACTATTACTTCTAGTGATCCACTTGCAGCATTTTTGTTTCTTGTTTCTGTGACCCTATGCTCTTCAGGTCTGAAGGGAGGAACGTGTAGTGTGATTGATCTACATTACCAAGGAGAAATTGAATTGGATACATTCTGGAGATAAACAACAACATGTCTGAAATCCAAGAGATTCCTTTGGTAGTCTCTTCATCATACCATGCCCTGTCATTTCAGTTAATAGTAAAGTACAGCACCCTGAGTTTACCATCACTAATAATAGCCCAGACTCTTCAGGAATTGAGATTTGGGTCACCGTACAAGGCAAAGAACCATGACAACCTGAGGTATTTGCTGAGGGTAAAGGAAATACAGAATGGGTAGTAGATGAAGGTAATTGTAAATATTAGCTAATGTCAGGTGACAAGCTGTGTAAATGAAAACTTGAACTGTAGGAAAGCTGGAAAATCAGGAAGACCAACCTCCTGAAAATCCATTCGCTAGTAGGGGAGTGTCCCAGGTGGTGTGCACCAAATGGGCCACATTGACTTGGGCTTGCGAGTGCATGCTGGGCACCCAGCTCGGGTGCTGTGCAATGCTTGGACATTGAACCTTGAATCTTCAAGGCACCCTTTAGACTCCCGAGGCTGCATCACTGAGGTCTAATGGGGAAACCTCACTGCTGGACTGGACTCTTCCTCAGACACTCTTTTATCGGGAGGACTGACATTTTCGGGGAGTATTATTGTTAATTTTCCCTGACAACTGAGTCCCATTTTGTGTGTGTGTGGTTAAATAGTGTCCACACATAAAAGAATTAATTCTGTACAAGTGAATATTTCATGTACTGCAATGTGGAGGTATCCTACATTGGCCCAATATCCCTCTCTCAGCAGACCTTTAAAAAATTAGTACCAGGGTCTAATCAAAGACAATTTAATAGAAGAATGTTGAGCCTGTAGGGGATGAATGATAAGCCTCTACTATAAATTAACAAGGCTGTTCAGAAAGGGAGCCAAAGTCATATAAAAACCAAAGAAACAAACAGCACACACACGCCAAACGTAGATCCAGGAATAGTGTTTGGGCTCATACTACATCCTACCTCCAATTACTAGTACTTATAAATAAACTAGTGCTATAAATAAACTAGTGCTTATATCATGGCCCTGCTCAATATTAGCCATCAGGAAGTGAACACTGAAGAAAAGGGTGTTATAGCAAAGTGTGATGAAGAAATTAGATGGTACCCAGCTATCAGATGAAATAACATCTGTGGTCTTAATGATTTGTTTCAAACAAGCAGCCATCTCAGTGACATGTCAACTAAGTTCACATGGAAGAGGCACACCAGCATCAGTCATCAAAGGATTGTAAATCATATAACCTGACATTAAAGGAGAGATTAATATCAGAGCCCAAAATGTGAGAATCTGGTTTTCAGAAGGTTATGGATGACAGTGGGAGCCTGTGGTAGTTACATAATCTGGTGTCAATTTGAGAGGTTTACAAGTGAATGGGGTGGATTCTGTCCATCAAGACACAACCAATGAGACCTCTGTGTGAGCATGGCCTCTCCTGAGGATTCTGGGAACTTCGGTTTTTTCTCCGTGGAGGCAGGAGACACTTCTCTCTCTCTTATCACTCCCTTGGAGACACTCTACTGACAACACTCACTCCCTGGGAGACATGGAGCTGACAAGACACATGGAACTGCTCTAGTACCCTGAGCTGGAGAAAGCTCATGAAACTACGCTGATGCAACCAGATCTCTTGGGCCAGAGAGGCCACATAGAGGCGCCTGACAATGCTGAGATGTTTGCAACGCCACTGGATCCAGAAGATTTTCTACCCACCTGCCTGTGATTGTCCTGCATTGAATGTCATTGTATGTGTTTTGTGAGTTTCCATGAATTTGTTTCGCTAGTCTACCCAGACTAACACAGAGTCCAAGATGCATTTGTGGGATCTACATAGAAAATAAACCTCCAGTGATTTCCCGCTTCCCATAATAGAAGGAGGGGAGGAAAGTGGTTACTAAACAATGTGCATCGGAGGGATGACTATAGAAGATCAAAATGATAAACGCGACTTAAACAGTTAAAAACATGCCCATTTATCTACACTCTGATGTCTTATTTGGTTTTAAACATTCTCTATATGTTTTTGTTCATAGTAGGGTTTATCTCAGATGTGTTATGTCATTGGGGTAACTGTGTTGAATTTTTTTTCTTTCTGTTTTTCAGTATATGAAACCCAGTATTGATAAACCTATGGGGACAAAGTGTAGAATAACGGTTGTGTGTGTGTGTGGGGGGGGTGGTATATTGTGGTGGGCAGGGAAGGGGTGAGGGGTAAAATGGAGCTTATGTCAAGGAGTGCAGGAAATAAAAGAAAGGTTTGAAACTGATTATGATAGCAATTGTACAATACTGCTTGCTGTGATTGAACTATCGTATGATATAATATCTGCATTAATTCCCAATAAAAAATGGTTTTGCAAAAAAAGAAAAAGAGCGTGCACTGCTAATTTAGGGTGAGAGGTACAATATTAATATGCAAAACATCACCATTCATAGATAAAATATTGTTGGCTTGTAGAGTTATGGTGGTCCCATGTTTGCTATTTTTCAAAAATTTTGTCAGGCTGAAAATATAGGGGATCTTGTTGATTGATCTAACTTAGAATTGATCAAGTAGTATAAGAAAACACTGGGGGGACTTCCGGGAAGATGGCGACGGAGTGACACATACCAGAGGGACTCCGCAGAATCCAGCCTAGGAGCGTTGCTTAGAGGGAACTTTAACACAACTAGAACACAGGAGGAGCATCATAAAGATAAGTAGGCACAGACCCACGGGGTTTTGAGGGGCTTGGGGCTTTTGGTTTACCTCAGTGGAAGCTGGCTGGGGCTTGACCTTGGCCCAGCATCTGTCGCTGCTGGAGCCGCGACCATTTGGAGCCCGTAGGGGGATTTGGATTCAGCAAAGCCACAGTTTACCCCTGCCAGCCTC